TCTTCAGTTATCTGGGTCAAGTCTGCTGTGTTTCCTGTGAAACTGTTACAATGTAGATGTGTGGTGGAAGAATTGATTGAATTTTTCCTGCTAATTTTCTACAGGTCCATATAAAAAGGAGGTCCCAGAAGAGAGCTACTGGAAACACTGTCAAAATGTAAGCTGTAATGCTGCTGGACTACACCATCAGCTGGCGGTGCCAGTTGAGGTTCCCTGAGAGACCGGGGACATGAGGACTCTTAACCACCAATCTTGGACTTACCGCCTTTAATCGCCTCCTGCCTGCCATATAGGGAATTGACGAGGGCGGCGTCTCTCTCGTTCTGGGAGGACGTCATATGACAGCAGATCACCAATCACAGTAAAGAACCGATGACACAGGCTCTATCATGTGATCAGCTGTATCCAATCACTGCTGATCACACATAAACAGGAAATGACGGTTATCAGCAGTCCTCTCCTCATGCTGACAGCACATGAGGAGAGGAGAGCCGGTAAGTGGCATTCCTCAGAGGGGACATATACGCTGATCATCAGGGAACTGATCATCAGTGCCCTGATGATCAGTGTAGCCCCATCAGTGGCACCTGTCAGTGCCCATAACTGCCACCTGTCAGTGCCCATAACTGCCACCTGTCAGTGCCCATCAATCCCACATACCAGTGCATATCAATGCCACATATCAGTGCCCATCAGAGTTGCTTTTCAGTGCCGATTATCAGTGCCCATCAGTGCCACCTATTAGTGCCAGTCAGTGCCGCCTATCAATGCCAGTCAGTGCCACCTATCAGTGCTGCCAATCACTGCCCATCAGTACCGCCAATCAGTGCCACCTATGTAGTGTCACCTATCAGACCCAGACAGTGCCACCCATCAGTGCCGCCTAACAGTTCCAATTAATGCTGCCTATCAGTGCCATATATGAGTGCTTCCTTTCAGTGCCCATCAGTGATGCCTGTCAATGCCCACGAGTGATGCCCGTCAATGCCCATTAGTGCCTCCTCATCAGTGCAGCCTATCAGTGCCCATCACTGCAGCCTCATTAGTGTACATCAATGAAGGAGAAAAAATACTAATTTACAAAATTTTATAACAGAAACAAAGACCCAAACTTTTCAATCTTGTTTAGTTTGTTTAGCAAGAAATAAAAAAACCCAGATGTGATTAAATACCGCCAAAAGAAAGCTCTATCTGTCTCAAAAAAATGATAATACTTTTGTTTGGGTACAGTGTTGCATGACCGCACAATTGTCATTCAAAGTGCGACAGCACTGAAAGCTTAAAATTGGCCTGGGCAGGAAAGGGGTAAAGTGCCCTGTAGGTAAGTGGTTAACCACTTGCCCTCCAGAGGATGTACCCCCCTTCCTGACCAGGCCATTTTTTGTGTTATGGCATTTTGTTATTTTAATTCACATTTGCGCGGTCATGCAACGCTGCAACCAAATGAAATTTACGTCCTTTTTTTCCCTCCAGTAGAGCTTTCTTTTGTTGGTATTTGACTGCCTGTGTATTTTTTATTTTTTGCGCTATAAAAAAAAAGACTGACAATTTTGAGAAAAAAAAACATTATTTTTGACTTTTTGCTATTAAACATGGCTAGTAAATAAAATTTAAATCAAAATTTGTCATAAATTTTCGCCAAAATGTATTTTTCTACATGTCTTTGCTAAAAAAAAATCCCCATATGTTTAAATGAATTGCTTTACGTGAAAGTTATAGCGTTTACAAATGGCGGTATATATACTGGGATTTTTTTTTTTGTAATTTTTATTTTTACTAGTAATGGTAGTGATCAGCAACTTATAGCGGGACTGCAGCGGGCATTCTGAGACTGGGGGGAACTGACTTGGTGTCATTGATATCTCCAGTGACACCAGTATAGTGATCAGTGCTAATAAAAAGCATTGACACTGTACTAATGACACGAAGCAGGAAGGGGTTAACATGTGGGGCGATCAAAGGGTTAACTGTGTGCTTTTATTACTGTTTGCTGTGTGTGTGTGTGTGTGTGCTTCACACATAGCAGTGTGCAGGACCTGACGGGAAAGAACTGTTTTGTTTACTTACAGTTCTCTCTCTCCGTCGGTAATGCTCCTCGATCACCGGGCGCCGGCGAGTAATCACCGGCCGGGACCCGGTGATTGACAGCCAAGGCCACGAATACCTACTCGGAAATGCAAAATCACATATATATATATATATATATATATACACACACACACATGATTTTGTGCACCCGTGCCGCCCTGTAGCAGTATTACTGCTATAGGGGGAACGGGAAACGGATAAAGTGGTTGTGAACCTAAAAAACCCAAGTCAATCTAATCATACAGTTGAACAGATTTTACCTTTACTAAGCATTTGAGCTTAGTTTGGTATCTTGAAGCAATCCTTTTCTCCAGAAATCCTCCATGCTCTTCTGAACAGAATATATCTGACACAAGCAGAAAAATGGTGTCACCACTCCCCTTCTCCTGTGAGTGACAGGCTGCTCTGAAGACGAGACCAGCATGAGCATCCATGTAACACATTGCAAAGGGATGGGGGAGCGGGTGTGCTCTCCCCTGCCTTCACAAGATCCAGAACTCAGCAGCAGTGATTTATGACATAGATCGGCATCACTTCAGTAATGCTGTACTTATCTAGGTAAGTCTGGTCCACATTGCCACTTTAGGCTGCAAGATTCCTAGGATTTTTAACATTAACCCCTTCCTACCAGCTTTCTCCTGATTAGCACATATCCTGTGCTGTAAGCAGAGCTGACATAGTCATTGGCACCTGTGTATTCCCCTGATTGCACTCAGGAGACATGCTCGCAGGCATGTGCTGTGCATGTTCTTGAGCTGAGGCTGGAGGGTGTGTATCACTAAGATATTTGTGTGACATCACATCTCCGTCTACTATTCTCTGGTCCTAAGCCACGCCCACAGACCAGCAGTTTTTGGAGGACTGAGACAAGCTAAGGGAGTATTTTTCTGAGGTACACTCACTGCTGTATGTATGTTTACAGTAAAATGTATTCACCTCCCGGACCTTTAAGGGTTTCAGGAGCCGGGAGGTGGGGTTTTAGGGTCATGTGATTCACTGTCACAGCAGTTACATGATCGGGAAAGGTCCCAATCGAAAGAGGAGATCGGGACCTTTCCATGAGGACCAGACATGTGTGCTGGGAGCGCGCTCTCAGCACATATGTTTTTCTTAATTGCACGCAAATGTGCGGCCGCTCGGCATCAAGGCCCAGACGCTGGGGGGCCATACATTTGCGTGCGACCGGCGCCAAGAGGTTAATGTGGCTTTCTCTAAGACCAGAGTGTCCCCCACTAGGGTGCCTAAGCCCCAGCCAGATAAAAATCTTGGCTGTATTGGCTTTATGTATGTACAGGCCAGGGGTCTAACTACAGATCATGGGGCCCTGTAGCAAAATTTTGATGGCTGCCCTGCCCACAAGACACCTCCCTGTGACATCTGGCAGTTTTAACTGTGAGAATACTGTCACTGATCTTAACATAAGGTATTCCTAAATCAAGTACAGGTTGCTGGAGAGCTCTCAGCATAGTCAGTACTCTACTAGGTGCAGTGTGGATAGACATTGTCAGGGAAGTTAAACAGCGCAGGGAATTATCTTTAAAGCGGAGCTCCACCCAAAAGGGGAAGTTCCGCTTTAAGCCTTTGTCCCCCCGCTCCCCATTAAGCATTGGCGCCTTTGGGGAGCGGGTACCCAAATTTGACAGGTACCTGCTCCCACTTCTGCTGCAGTCGCCTAGGTCAGTGGTCGGCATGCCGCGGCTCTTTACACGCTTTAATGCGCTCTTGTGTGCCGGGAGCCCGCTCCCCTCCCTCCTCTCGGGCAGCAGGGACTCTGCAGCGTGATCCAAAAAAAAAAAAACAGCCAGGGCAGCGCGCTCAAATGCAATGATTGGCCAGTCTCGCTGCCACTCACATCCTGATAGCCAGTGATTGGCTGTCAGGATGTGTGTAGGCGGGGCAGCGTGACGAACGTGAGAGGAGCTAGGCTCCTCTCACAGTCCGCCCTGAAGACCGGAACGGCGCGGGAACACGGCGAGAGGAACGCGCGGTGTCAGGGCTCCCGGGTATGACCAGAGGTGTGTGACTGACGCAGGGAAACGCAGACTTCCGATAAGTTTTAAACAATTTATTAACACTAACAATACAAACATAAACGCAGTGCAATACTAAAACATAACACAGTGCAAACGAACCAAACCAAACCACCCACAGATAACAGTACATACAGTGCAAGCGTCGTCAGGCAGCCGGGTCAATATCAATCGGGCAGGTAGGTACAGGGGGAGCAAGCGGAGAATAGTCAGGTCACGAGCAGGGTACAGCAACTAACAGGCAGGTAGGTACAGAGGGTCAGGCAGAGAATGTCGGGGTCACAAGCCAGGGATCAGAACAGGAGAAGTCAGCAGAGGTCAGAATCAAGCCGGGTCAGCAACAAGACAGGAACAGGATGCAGGAACAAGATGCAGGAACAAGATACAGGGCCCAGGAAAAACACAACACCAAGGCAGAGTCGGCAGGTCTGAATGTCCCTTAAATACACCAGTATAATTAGTTCCAGGTGTTTGACTGGCTGCAAGGTTGAGTCTCTGATTGCTGGGAGTACCCGCTGGCCAGCCCTGGTACTGCAGCTCAAAAGGCAGGTGAGTCCCACTATTGCTGGCCAGTCCATTCCTGACAGTACCCCCCCTTCAAGGAGCGGCCTCAGGACGCTCCAAACAGTGCTAGCTGGGCAAAAAGTTCCACCGCCCGGGTCTGGTAACTGGCGGGATATCAAAGACTGGCACACCGGGCAGGACTCCGGGCAGAGGCACATCGGCTGGACTCCGGGCAGAGGCACCCGCAGAGGCACATCGGGCTGGACTCCCCGCAGAGGCACATCGGGCTGGACTCCCCGCAGAGGCACATCGGGCTGAACTCCGGGCAGAGGCACATCGGGAGATTACCAGGTGAAGCAGCAGGCACCGGGCCCCCAGGCGGGGCGACGGGCATCGGGCCCCCAGGAGGGGCGACGGGCGCCGGGCCCCCAGGCGGAGCGGCGGGCGCCGGGCCCCCAGGCGGAGCGGCGGGCCCCCAGGCGGAGCAACAGGTCTCGGGCCCCCAGGCGGAGAGGCGGGCACCGAGTCACCAGGCACGACAGTGGGCTCCGAGTCAACTGGCAAGACTGCGGGCACCGAGCCAACTGGCGGAGCAGCGGGCTTCAAGTCGTCTGGCAAGACTGCGGGCACCGAGTCAACTGGCGGAACAGCGGGCTTCGAGTCGTCTGGCAAGACTGCGGGCACCGAGTCGTCTGGCAAGACTGCGGGCACCGAGTGTCTGGCAAGACTGCGGGCACCGAGTCGTCTGGCAAGACTGCGGGCACCGAGTCGTCTGGCAAGACTGCGGGCACCGAGTCGTCTGGCAAGACTGCGGGCACCGAGTCGTCTGGCAAGACTGCGGGCACCGAGTCAACTGGCGGAACAGCGGGCTTCGAGTCGTCTGGCAAGACTGCGGGCACCGAGTCGTCTGGCAAGACTGCGGGCACCGAGTCGTCTGGCAAGACTGCGGGCACCGAGTCGTCTGGCAAGACTGCGGGCACCGAGTCGTCTGGCAAGACTGCGGGCACCGAGTCGTCTGGCAAGACTGCGGGCACCGAGTCGTCTGGCAAGACTGCGGGCACCGAGTCGTCTGGCGGAACAGCGGGCATCGAGTCGTCTGGTGGAACAGCGGGCACCGAGTCGTCTGGCGGAACAGCGGGCACCGAGTCGTCTGGCAAGACTGCGGGCACCGAGTCGTCTGGCAAGACTGCGGGCACCGAGTCGTCTGGCAAGACTGCGGGCACCGAGTCGTCTGGCGGAACAGCGGGCACCGAGTCGTCTGGCGGAACTGCGGGCACCGAGTCGTCTGGCAAGACTGCGGGCACCGAGTCGTCTGGCAAGACTGCGGGCACCGAGTCGTCTGGCAAGACTGCGGGCACCGAGTCGTCTGGCAAGACTGCGGGCACCGAGTCGTCTGGCGGAACAGCGGGCTTCGAGTCGTCTGGCAAGACTGCGGGCACCGAGTCGTCTGGCAAGACTGCGGGCACCGAGTCGTCTGGCGGAACAGCGGGCATCGAGTCGCCTGGCGGAACAGCGGGCACCGAGTCGTCTGGCAAGACTGCGGGCACCGAGTCGTCTGGCAAGACTGCGGGCACCGAGTCGTCTGGCAAGACTGCGGGCACCGAGTCGTCTGGCAAGACTGCGGGCACCGAGTCGTCTGGCAAGACTGCGGGCACCGAGTCGTCTGGCGGAACAGCGGGCATCGAGTCGTCTGGTGGAACAGCGGGCACCGAGTCGTCTGGCGGAACAGCGGGCACCGAGTCGTCTGGCAAGACTGCGGGCACCGAGTCGTCTGGCGGAACAGCGGGCTTCGAGTCGTCTGGCAAGACTGCGGGCACCGAGTCGTCTGGCAAGACTGCGGGCACCGAGTCGTCTGGCGGAACAGCGGGCTTCGAGTCGTCTGGCAAGACTGCGGGCACCGAGTCGTCTGGCAAGACTGCGGGCACCGAGTCGTCTGGCGGAACAGCGGGCATCGAGTCGCCTGGCGGAACAGCGGGCACCGAGTCGTCTGGCAAGACTGCGGGCACCGAGTCGTCTGGCAAGACTGCGGGCACCGAGTCGTCTGGCAAGACTGCGGGCACCGAGTCGTCTGGCAAGACTGCGGGCACCGAGTCGTCTGGCAAGACTGCGGGCACCGAGTCGTCTGGCGGAACAGCGGGCATCGAGTCGTCTGGTGGAACAGCGGGCACCGAGTCGTCTGGCGGAACAGCGGGCACCGAGTCGTCTGGCAAGACTGCGGGCACCGAGTCGTCTGGCGGAACAGCGGGCTTCGAGTCGTCTGGCAAGACTGCGGGCACCGAGTCGTCTGGCAAGACTGCGGGCACCGAGTCGTCTGGCGGAACAGCGGGCATCGAGTCGCCTGGCGGAACAGCGGGCACCGAGTCGTCTGGCAAGACTGCGGGCACCGAGTCGTCTGGCAAGACTGCGGGCACCGAGTCGTCTGGCGGAACAGCGGGCATCGAGTCGCCTGGCGGAACTGCGGGCACCGAGTCGTCTGGCAAGACTGCGGGCACCGAGTCGTCTGGCAAGACTGCGGGCACCGAGTCGTCTGGCGGAACAGCGGGCATCGAGTCGTCTGGCGGAACAGCGGGCACCGAGTCGTCTGGCGGAACAGCGGGCACCGAGTCGTCTGGCAAGACTGCGGGCACCGAGTCGTCTGGCAAGACTGCGGGCACCGAGTCGTCTGGCGGAACTGCGGGCACCGAGTCGTCTGGCAAGACTGCGGGCACCGAGTCGTCTGGCAAGACTGCGGGCACCGAGTCGTCTGGCAAGACTGCGGGCACCGAGTCGTCTGGCAAGACTGCGGGCACCGAGTCGTCTGGCAAGACTGCGGGCACCGAGTCGTCTGGCGGAACAGCGGGCTTCGAGTCGTCTGGCAAGACTGCGGGCACCGAGTCGTCTGGCAAGACTGCGGGCACCGAGTCGTCTGGCAAGACTGCGGGCACCGAGTCGTCTGGCAAGACTGCGGGCACCGAGTCGTCTGGCAAGACTGCGGGCACCGAGTCGTCTGGCAAGACTGCGGGCACCGAGTCGTCTGGCGGAACAGCGGGCATCGAGTCAACTGGCGGAACAGCGGGCACGAGTCGTCTGGCAAGACTGCGGGCACCGAGTCGTCTGGCAAGACTGCGGGCACCGAGTCGTCTGGCGGAACAGCGGGCACCGATTCGTCTGGCGGAACAGCGGGCACCGAGTCAACTGGCGGAACAGCGGGCACCGAGTCAACTGGCGGAACAGCGGGCACCGAGTCAACTGGCGGAACAGCGGGCACCGAGTCAACTGGCGGAACAGCGGGCACCGAGTCGTCTGGCATTGGATCGTCTGGCTCGACAGCGGGCATCGGGTCACCAGGTATGACAGCGGGCACTGGGTCACCAGGCATCAGGTCATTTGGCTCGCCAGCGGGCACCCCGTCATCTGGCAAGGCAGTGGGCACCGAGTCACCAGGTATGACAGCGGGCTCTGAGTCAATTGGCACGACAGCGGGCACCGGATCAGGTACCGGATCATCTGGATCAACAGCGGGCATCGAGTCAACTGGCCTAATAGGATCATCAGGCTGGATCAGTTCATTATGCTGGGTAGAAGCATCCGGCTGAGTAGAGGCTTCAGGCTGAGTAGAGGCTTCAGGCTGAGGAGAGGCTTCAGGCTGAGGAGAGGCATCAGGCTGAACCACGGAAGGCAGGTTCTCAGACGGTAGGCTCACCGGTTTGGATACTGGCAGGATGGTACTGGTTGGAAAGAATTTTTGCTTTTTTCTGGTTTTAACTACTGGGGCACTGCAAGTAAACGCAGGTCTGCAAATGAATGGAGCAGCTGGAGACAGAGAAGAGCTGGAGGATGGAACAGGGGAAGGAACAGTCGCTACAGAGGGCTTCTTTACAGGGTTAAAGGCAGGATAGGTGCAGCGAGTGGGAACAGGGTACTGACATGCGGTAGATAGCCAAGTATACTGGGCTGTAACTGGAGGAGCTGTTGGGAATACAGGAGTAGAGCTTTGAGGAAATAGATTAGAAGCAGGACTGGGTCTTTGTAAGCTGACTGAGGCTGGGGTGTAACAAATCTGTCCATGTCTGCAGTATGGGTTGAACAAAGCTGAGCTTACACAAAGCCTGTCTGACCAAAGACTGCACTGCGTTTATACAATCTCTTAGTGTCTGTGGTGAACATGTGGAATAACGCTCCAGAAAGTAACCCACATCATCCTCTAATAACCATACCAGGGACTCTACCTGGTCTGCACTAAATGGTGGCAAAAATTCATCCCTGCATTCGGGGGTACCAGATGAAACCAACTCAGCACAAACCTCAATCAATGGCTGCACCTCAGAGAACTCTGTGCCCTGATCTACTAGAACATGAGCGAGCCGTATACATTCTAGCAGTTCATCCCGGGTATACTCCTTCAGAGTTTGATAAGCATACTCCCTGTCATCAAACACTAGCAGATATAAATACGCAACCTCATCCAGATCCATCCTTCCCATCAACAAACCAAGATGGCTTCCCTGTGCAGCCACTTCTGGTCAGGATTGGCCTTGGTGTAATGTCAGGGCTCCCGGGTATGACCAGAGGTGTGTGACTGACGCAGGGAAATGCAGACTTCAGATAAGTTATAAACAATTTATTAACACTAACAATACAAACATAAACGCAGTGCAATACTAAAACATAACACAGTGCAAACGAACCAAACCAAACCACCCACAGATAACAGTACATACAGTGCAAGCGTCGTCAGGCAGGCCGGGTCAATATCAATCGGGCAGGTAGGTACAGGGGGAGCAAGCGGAGAATAGTCAGGTCACGAGCAGGGTACAGCAATTAACAGGCAGGTAGGTGCAGAGGGTCAGGCAGAGAATGGTCGGGGTCACAAGCCAGGGATCAGAACAGGAGAAGTCAGCAGAGGTCAGAATCAAGCCGGGTCAGCAACAAGACAGGAACAGGAACAGGATGCAGGAACAAGATACAGGGCCCAGGAAAAACACAACACCAAGGCAGAGTCTGCAGGTCTGAATGTCCCTTAAATACACCAGTATAATTAGTTCCAGGTGTTTGACTGGCTGCAAGGTTGAGTCTCTGATTGCTGGGAGCACCCGCTGGCCAGCCCTGGTACTGCAGCTCAAAAGGCAGGTGAGTCCCACTATTGCTGGCCAGTCCATTCCTGACACGCGGAGCAAAGGTAAGTGAATTGACACAGGGGGGACTTGGCTTACTACTTGCTACTTACTTACTACTACTATATAAGGGATGAATTAATATGGGGGATGAATTACTATAGGGGGGATGAATTACTATAGGGGGGATGATGAATTACTATATGGGGGATGAATTACTATATGGGGGATGAATTACTATATGGGGGATGAATTACTATGGGGGATGAATTACTATAGGGGGGATGAATTACTATATGGGGGATGAATTACTATAAAAACTTATTGAAACTAAAAACAGTGTACCATCCTATGTATTTTCAGTTTTAAAAATGTGGCTCTCAAAATAAATTTCAATCGTGGTTTTGGCGAGATTTGGCTCAGTTGAAAAAAAAGGTTGCCCACCACTGGCCTAGGCGAAGCAGAAGTTGTCCTCCCCCCTCCCTCACCGTAGTCTTTTGGGACACATGACAGGTCCCAGAATACTACGGGGCCATTCACAAAGTGCAGCGCTTCTCATGCATGCGCAGTGGGCATCCGGTTGTGAAGCCACAAGCTGTCACACTGCCCACACTGAAGATGCCAGCGCCAGGGAGAGAAGATGGACAGTGAAACCAACAGTGGTGAAGACACCGCTGGACCAAGGGACAGGTAAGTGGCTGTAATTTAAAAGTCAACAGTTACAGTTTTTGTAGCTGCTGACTTTTATTTATTTTTTTTTTTAGGTAAAATTCCAATTTAACCTTAGTAGTAGCAATAATAACCATCAGTATATTTCATATGATTGACATAGTTGTTGATGCTCCTGAACATAATTAGGCCTGGTTCAAACCTATGTGTTTTTTGGGGGCTTTTTGCAAACACACTACAGTCCATTTAACATGGTTTCCTATGGGAAACGTTCATATCTATGCTTTTTTTTTGCAGCTGCTGCATTTTTGGAAAGGGTCAGGGACCTTTTTAAAATGCAAAACAGTGCTTTTTTGATTCAATAGACTTCAATGGAGATCCTGAAGAAATGCATGTTGTGTGTTTTTGATGCGTTTTACAATCTGCCCAACTATAAATTGGTTTTTAAAAAAAAAAGCATAAAAAACATAAAAAATGAATGAAAAGCGCATCAGAAATGCATGTGCAAAAAGGCAAAATGCACAGCAAAAAGCACTGCAGAAACGGATCAAAGCAACTGTGTAGTTGTGAACAAGCCATACTCTAATACCCACAATTACTCTAATACCCTAATATAAACTGCTTTAAACTGTGGCTTTTTTGGCAGAACTACAAAGTTTCCTCCTGCAAGGCAAAGGCTTAATGTGCTAGCATGCATCCCATACTAGCACATTATGAAAGCTTACCTTGAAACGAAGCCCACCAGCAGTGCACTGTCACCACTGCAAAGGCTTCCATCTTCACCTGGTCTTCCTTCTGGGTTCACAGGCTCTGGCCGCTTGAACAGGCAAGCCGCGATGACGTCACTCCCATACATGCACGGAAGTCACGCCCGCGGCACTGAACTCTGAAGGAATGGCATGGGTCTGCCGTTCCTTCAGAGCGCATGTGTCGGTGATGTCACCAGCTGCCACTCACTAGAATATTTTCTCAGTGCACGTTTAGGAGATATTCATTTTACCTACAGGTAAGTTTTGTTATAAGCTTACCTTTACTACCCCAATCCATCAGACTGTCACCTTCCCTCCTCACCTTCAGGCGCTCCCTGAAAACCCATCTCTTCAGGGAAGCCTACCCCACCCTCACCTAACAGCCGTTCTCCTTCATTCCTCCAACCACTCCATGCCCCACAGCCATTTCCTCCTGTACCACTACCCCCTCCCTTCTAGATTGTAAGCTCGAAAGAGTAGGGCCCTCTAACCCCTCATGTGCTGTTTGTAGTTGCTGTACTGTTTCATGTATTGTCCCCCCCTCTATTGTACAGCGCTGAGCAAACCCTTTGGCGCTATATAAACTCGATGTAATAATAATAATAATAAAGTGTAAGGAACATTTTTCCCACTGACCATCACACGAATGCATCATGAGCTGTAGATACAGTAATTTTTAGCAGGAGTTCCCCGAGACCAAAAAGTCATTTCAATGGGTTCCTCTGTGTTGAAAAGGTTGCGAAAGGCTGGCTTATCCTGTATAGGTTGTGTTTCATCAGATATTCAGCAATGGAGCCTGCAATTATCTGATGTACAGATAGCCACAAGGGAGCATCTTCAAGTAAATACTAGAAGGAAAATAAAGTAAAGAAAAAGACAAATTTGCATTTAATGCAATATGTAAATATCTACTCGTAGAAAATTCAGTATAAATTCCCATTTAAATAAGAAGAAAATTCCCATACATTGATTTCCTTTTCTTTACAGTTTCAAGAGCATATCATATTTTAATCATAGCAGAAACATGAGTCCACAATATTACAGTTTGCTGGAAACTCCGAACTGAGACTAGCTGCTGGTAGCTGTAATGCTGGCAATGCGTATATGTACATTCTTCTTTCTTTAGGTCTAAAGCGCGTTCCCAAGGATGTCACCTAACCCCAGGTCACCAGGGAGATACCAATCTCCTCTGAGAAATATTTGACCGATATGTCAAGAGAGATAAGGGCATTTCTTAAAGCTAACCTCTGGGCTAAACAAATACTGTCTAAATACAAGAGACATGTTTATTCTTACTCGAATCTTGGAGTACTTTGTGTATTTCTCCAGATCTGTACAGTAATCCTGTATGAAAAAACTCCTACACTTTGCCTCTGTGCAGAAATTTGTTGTAATAAAGACTGGTCACTGCTGATCTGTCAGGGCTCCCAGGTGTGACCAGAGGTGTGTGACTGACGCAGGGAAACGCAGACTTTAGATATGTGATAAACAATATAATTTATTAAAGACTAACCATACAAACATAAACGCAGTGCAATACTAAAACATAATACAGTGCAAACAAACCAAACCAACCACCCACAGATAACAGTACATACAAGCAAGCGTCGTCAGGCAGGCCGGGTCAATATCAATAGGGCAGGTAGGTACAGGGGGAGCAAGCGGAGATGGGTCGGGGTCACAGGCCAGGTTCAGCAGGTAGCTAGCAGCGTAGTACAGAGGGTCAGGCAGAGGGATGGTCAGGGTCACAAGCCAGGGATCAGAACAGGTAGCAAGCAGCGTGGTACAGAGGGTCAGGCAGAGGGATGGTCAGGAGCGAGCCGGGATCAGAGCAGGAGAAGTCAGCAGCGGTTCAGATCAGGCAGGGTCAGCAAAGTAACAGAAACAGGATGCAGGACTGATACAGGGCCCAGGACAAACACAACACCAAGGCAGAGTCTGCAAATCTGGCCATCCCTTAAATACACCAGTATCATCAGTTCCAGGTGTTAGCTGGCTGAAAGGTTGAGTCTCTGATTGCTGGGAGCACCCGCTGGCCAGCCCTGGTACTGCAGATCAAAAGGCAGGTGAGTCCCACCATTGCTGGCCAGTCCATTCCTGACATGATCTCTCTTCTTGTGCAGGGTGACTGGTCTCGTCTCCGCCCCTCCTGTAGTTTCCTGCAGGCAGCCTGTAGTGGGTGGAGCCTGCTGGGTCCCTCCCACAGCTGTGCTCTCTGCACAGACTATGTCCAGCACAGTGATTCTGTGTTGCATGGGTGTTTATTGCACACAAAGTGGTTTTATATATCTTGTGGCTGTTTGAAGAATATATTTAAAGAGGATCTTCACCCTGGAAAAAAA